CTCCCCCGATCGCCTCACCTCTGCCCGGACCGTGCCATAACTCTGGCTGTGGCTAACGTGTCCTGACAGCTTCTGTGTGAGCCGAGAAAAGGCAAAGGCACCAAAAGGTCAGGTAATGGCCTAACTAAGCCCACCCCCCGCAGAGATGTGGCCAATTCAGCACATTTAACAAAAACACAGACATCCTTTTATCTCACATCCCCCAAACAGGACAAAAACTCTCTACGCCCATAATTATTAATCCAGCAGAGCCCGAAACAAATTAGGCAGCAGCTACGAACACACTCGTAAAAGACGTCTGCAGAACAGTTTGATGATCACACGAGGTCTGGGCGCAGTCAAGTTAGAGGACAGTTCTCTGCATTTAAACGTTCCAGCATTCCTTGAAGGAATGCATGTCACCCGCCGCCTTGAGCGCCAATGTCTTTGACTCAAATCTTACACGAGAAATGAGTTGTAGCCGTTTCGGTTTAAACCTAAACTTATGCATGACCTCATGTGATCTCACGAGATGTCACGCTCGAGTTTGTGTTAAGAATGACTCTCAGTTACCACCACAACAGATTCTAGTTCAATATCTGCAAAACTGATTAAATGCAGAGAAAAATCATAGCTGCAAGCAGATTTTACAAAGCAGTAACTAAAAGCTAAAAATGGAGCTAAACTGATAGCTAAAATATGAAAATGGAGCTAAACTGATAGATAAATATGAAAATGAAGCTAAACTGATAGCTAAAAGTTAAAAATGAAGCTAAACTATTAGCTAAAATCTAAAAACGAAGACATATTTTGCCTACAAGAGTTGACTCTCAAAAGCAGTGGTGGGCACAGCTAACCAAAGTTAGCTTTGCTTGCCAAAAGTCCGCTAACTAAAAAATTTGCTCTGCTAATGCCAAACCGCTAAATAGGTAAAAAATAAAAATGAGCAGAAGATAACGCTAACTGCTAAGGCGACAATCACTCAGTCTGCGTTGCATGCCTTCGTCTGCTTCCAGCTGAAGATTGGTGAGACTGATGTGAACGTGCTGATGCAAGTTTGATTCTATTGGCTTGATTTTTAGGTGGGTGGGGCCATTTGTGGCAATTCAGCCAATCCACACCAGAGTCATAGCCTGCGTAATGCAGGTGGACACACAACCTGCTAAAGATGCTACACACACAAGGTGCATGACGTATGCGGGCGAGGGGATAGTTGGGTTTGTTGGGGGAAGGTTTTTTGCACAGGAAGCTTTGAGCTACGCTGTTCAACTACTGCTGCTTTGTCAACCCATCATGTCTTATCACGTGTTCACGTAGTCAGCCAATAGCGTGCATAACGGACTCTTTGAGACACGCCCACACCAGATCGAAACAAACGTGTCAATTTTGGTAGTGGACATAAAGTTATCGGAATTTAATTTAGCGGTAACCGTGTGTCCACCACTGCCAAATAGCATCCAACAGCCCCCCCCCCCCCCCCCCCCCCCACACACACACACACACAGCAGCAGCATCTGAAACCTGCTCATTGTGTTCATCAGGAGAACCTAACGTGAACCCACCGTGTCAACCCCGGCCAGGAGCATCTCGGTTACGTTGGCGTAGATCTCCTCCAGGTTCATCTCCATCGTAGTGAGCATGTGCGTGAGCATACCCCCCTTCACCTCCTCGCCTCGCTGCAGCTGGGCCTTGATGTCCCGAAACCTCTTGTCAACATGAACGACGCCTGGAACGAAACAAACACACGAAGGTGAGACAAGCAGCATGGAGGGAGCGGCAGAGGAACAACATTTTCTGTCAAGATTCAACCAGAGAAAAGTTTTTTCTTGCAAAAAAACAAAGTGTGCTTTGAAATGCATGATGTCACTGCCTGACACTGCTCATGAGCGCCTCGGCAGAATTATTCGAACAGCTGACGTTTAGGTCTAAAAGCATTTGAAACCTCTACACAGAAGTTGCACAGGAAGCATGAGTCTTAACATCTTCTCCTGTCAGTCATGAGCAATTAGATGTTTTAATGGCTGTAATAAGGTGAAGTAATTTGGGTAGTTAAAAATGGTGGATGACTAAAAACTAATGTAATTAATATTGGTAATATTTTAAGATGTATCATTTTTTGAAGCACATCATTTCTCCAATGTATTTATTGTTTGACCTGACTGAGGTGGGATTTGAACCCAGCGTGTCTGGTTGGTGGGCAAGGACTCGTTTAGAAAGATGGCAGTCGTGGGTTTTGTGTGTGAGGCCTGAACACCTGAGCCAGAACCAAGACTGCGGAGTCCATAGACTGAGGACACAGGATCTTAAAAACTCTTCTCAAGTTATGCTAACCACGACTGAACAATGTGTGAAAAATAGTTAATCATGTAACTAAGTAAATTAACAAACGTCTATTGCTAATTATCGTTTAACTTTTTGAAATTTTTAAATCATTCAAGAATATTATCTACAAGTCAAATTATTAAACTTTTAACTTTTATCTATTAATTTCAGTTTAAAACTGGACTAAATAAACTCATATTTACAACATGTTAGCATTATTGTAATAAAAACAATCCTAAATGACGACATCAGCCGTAAAGTGCTAAAAGCTCAAGTAGCAAAATGCAAAAAACTCAGTGTTGCAAAACAATAGCTAGAAGGGAAAAAGACGCAGAACATTATTTAAGAAGGAGCCAGATAGATATTAAAGTCTGAAAGTGGAAAAATGCTAGCTAAAAGAAACAAAAGGCTAGCTAAAAGCTATTGTAGGAAAAAGGTAAGAACAAACGTAGCAGTACTTGCTAGAAGTTAAAAAGAAGCTAAACATTATTCAAAAAGGACCCAAACAGTAAGGCTAAAAGAAGCACATGCTAGCTAAAAATACCAAAAAACTAGCTAAAAGCTAACATAGCTAAAGACTAGCTAAAAACTATAGTACCAAAAAGGGAAAATGCTAAACGTAGAAAGAAGGTAAGAAACTGAAAGTAGCAAAACAGTATGAAAATAGTTGTTAATAGCTAAAAGAAGCTAAATGCTAGTTATAAGCTAAAAGTAGCAAAGTGCTCAATTTTCTGAAGTAGCTGAAGTTGATCTGGTAAAGCTCAGGGTATGTGTTGGGAAAACTCTCAGTTACTACCACACCAACTTCTAGCTCAGTATCTGTAAAGCTGACCGAGTTAGAGTCTTTTAAAGTTTGTTTTCTACGGCCAGTTAGCTGTGGAGGCCATCTTGGATCAGGTCAGGGTAAGTCAATCAGTTGTAGAAGTGCATCCAATGATGGGTTTCCCTAAAGTACATTTCATCACCTGCCACTATGAAAGGCAGGCGCCAACAAAGTTTTTGTGTGCACCTCGTGGGTGACAGTCCCAGCTGTAAAGGACTCACTGAACTTGAAGAGTCCATCCCAGGAGTTGCAGAACTCCTCCCAGGGTTTGGGGATGATGGGGCGGAGCCACTTGGGGATCGCTCCGGCATACATGGTGGTCTTGAAGGTGCTGAACATCAGGTTCAGAGCAGCAATGTAGTCCTGAGTTTCCTTTGGGACGTCATTTTCCAAACATCCAAGTCTGCACTCGTACAAAATGGCCGCCACTCCTGGAAGAACACGCAAGAGGTAAAAACTGCAGTCAGACCCACGAGTGGTTGGTTTAGTGTACAAACTAAGACACCTGAAAAGAAAATGTCCCTCAGTACTGAGAATGCTGACTCAGCATTTGCTAAATTATTGCTGAGTCACCACGATTTTATGTTTCTCAACTACTTCTGCAAACTTTCAGCTATTTCAGCCGTTCAGCATCAAAACCTTCAGCTCATTCAGGACATTATAGCTGTGACTTTTAGTTCTTGAACGTTTTCATACTTTACATTGAGCTTCTCTTTGAAAATGCATTAAAATCTCTCAACTCCTCCAAAGTCTTGGTGCTTTTGGAAACCTACTTTAGCATACCTGCTCTGCTTGTATCGCCTTATGCTTCCTTTTTGTCTTTTAAGTCTCTTACACACATCTTTTTACGTCTAGTTAAAAATATTTTGTTTCGTTATGCTTGTTTTTCCTTTTTTAAATGTCTCTTTTGTCTTTTTCTGTTTCTTAACGCGTCCTTTTTGTCTTTATGCTTTTTTTAAGCATAATCTTTGTGTTTAGACTTACGAGTCCTTCTTGTTGAATTGTTTGTCTTTTGATTTGTCCTTCGTCTTCACACATTCTTTGTTCTGTCCTCATGTTTATTTTTACCTCATTTTTTTCTCTCTGCCTCGAGATATTTTGCTAACAGACAGACTTGAACGCACAAATTCTGTCAAGGATACTGTCGCCCGTTTTCCACCAACCTTCCATGGCATATTTAAAGAAGAGGTCGTTGACGTTGGTGACGGTGACTCCGTCGGGCTGCTGCGCTCGCAGGTGGGACACCCTCCTGATGAGGTCGTCCACCACTTGGTTCACGTCGTCGGAGAAGACGGCCACGTCTCGGGGACGCATGATGAGCTGTCTGAGGACGCTTCGCATCTTCAGCCAGTCCTCCCCCTCACTGTGAACCAAAGCAGGACGTGTCAGTCACACCCGGTGGAGGTACAACACCTTCCTATCTACACTCGGACTTGAAGAACTGGTTGTTTCTCAAAGGTCGAAGGGGACTCACGCCGAGATGAGGCCAGTGGAACGGCCCCTCCCGTCTCTGTACTCCTTCCAGGAGTCCATGTTGGCTCTCTGAGGGGCCACGCCCTCAGCCCGCAGAACCTCGGCCACAAGGTCCTGATCTGCAATCGAGACCACCAGCTGGGGCCCGAAGTAGGACTTGAAGATCTTCCCGTACTGCAGCCGGTGCTCCATCTGCAAAAGATGAACGACAACAACTGAAGAGGCGGCGGCAGAATCATTTGGGATTTCACAAACTTTAGGAAGTATTTACAGCTGGCATCTACTCTACGTTTTTATCAAAAGCCCCAATATGTCATAAATCTGAGGCAGTGACGTGTGAACACAGAGCTGGATGACTCCGAGACGTTAAACATGATCAGGGAAAGTCTCTCTACGCTCACAGGAGAGAATCAATGACCAGATTTAGTTGAGGTCTGTAGAAGCTCGTCTGCTTGGATCTTCAGACTAACAGGGCGATAATGTATCTCATGAACCACTGAAGGACTTCCAATGAGCTCTATCAGATCCCACAAGGGTCAAACGTCTATATTTTTATGCCTCAAGACGGTTTCAGTTAAAACTCAGGCAATGAAAGGCGGCGGGCGACATGCATTCAATTGATAAAAAGTATTTATTCACTTATAGGAGAAATAATTTTACATTTTCAGTGGAAGTAAGTTCATTTTTAAGACGAGCTTAAAGAATAAACACAAGAGTTAGCAGTGGCAGCTTTTTTCAGGAAACATTTTGTAGTTTGTTTGTTTGTTTTGTTCATGACTGAAAACCAAAAAGTTTTACTAATTAATATCAAAGGTTTTTTTTACACATGTAAAAAGTACTTTAGAATTTTTTTTTAATGTGAGAAAGTTGCCCACCCTTTCTTTTTCTTAGTGCACGTTTCTCAGTTTGTTTCCTGACTCTTCATGAATGGAGGAGGGAAGAGGAACAAATCGCTCCCTGTGCGCTTTTACGCAACAGCCGTGCGCATTGGAGACAAAGTGTCTCCTCTGAAAGGACAAAGACTCGGGTTTTATTTTACTAACAGAAGAGAGGCGCAGGGTGGTGGGGGTTTTATATTATTACCTGGATTTCATGGATTCTGCTGAACCCGTCTCTCCAAAAGAACTCGAACAGGTTGGAGAGCATGCCGGGTCCCGGCATCTCCTTCAGGCTCTTGATCTCCGTCTTCAGGGACTTGTATGAGGGTTTGTTCAGGACCTCCGGGACCATCAGCCGGCCGGTCAGGGCCTCCTCTCCGGGGGCGGGGATCTCCAGAGCCTCGCTGGCTGCGGACTTGTGCAGCGTGCGCGAGATGAAAACCAGATGCTGGGTCGGGAAAGTCCTCCATCCCGCTGGGAACCGGGTCATCACCGCCATGACTGAGACTGCTTCACGGAACCTAAAGCTGGCAGAGCTCACACCCGCGTCTGGAAGCCTTTTAAACAGAGTCCTGCTCAGAGTCGGTGGGTCCGGATTGGAGGATCCTGCAGCAGAAGGGAGGGATCTGCTGGATTCCGCTGTAGGCCGTCCCCCCAAAAAACTTTAGCTCCATCCTTTGGTTGCAAAACAGGCGAGGGCCAACGTGCCCGCTCATCATTTGCGTCACAGCAATCAATTAAAGAGCGCGTGCACATTAATCAGCACATTTCCCTTCAATTGGATTGCCCATCATTTGTTTCATGACTTACCAAACCCGACAGTTAAATCTACTTTCAGAGTCCAGTAAGCCCCAGGTTTCCTGAGGACTCCGCTGAGGACTAAGCTCCGTGTCCCGTCCTGCTGACTGAGGACCCGCTGAGACCCGGACTCTCCTGGCCCCCCAGAGACTCCTCAAGTTCTTCAAGTCGGAGAACCGCAGGAGGAGGCAGACTCCTCTCTCTGGGAGGGGGGGACAGCCCCCCCGCCACTCCCCATAATGGAAAACCAAGGACACCCCCCCCCCCACACACACACACACACACACACACACACACAAACACACACACCCACCCCTTAAATCATTTGGAAAAACTATCATTTTTAGCAATAGACTATAAAGAAAATCAAGGAGCCCAGCAGTTCATTAATCCCTGACAGACTGTGTCAGGGATTAATGAACTAATGAAATTATTCACTGGGGGTGGGGGCAGTGCACCTGAAGTCTGGACAGGTGTACCTAAATGACCTTTTCACAGTTTCTTATGCACGTGCTCAGTCAGTGTTTGGGGGTCTAAATGGTTTCAAGCCTACTTCCGGTTCCTTGAAAGACATCTAACAATGTTCATATCTCACAATACTATAAAATACCAAAAAGATTCATTTACAAAGACCTGTTTATATAAATGCAGGTGTAAAGGCTCGTGCCTGATTTAATGCATGCACTTTAGTAAGTAGATATATGAATGATTTATTGCATAATGACATTATTTTCTAGTCAAACTTCATCTTTTTGCACAGCGACAGCAGTATTTCTATCATGTTTAAAGGGATTACTGATAGCAGGAACAAAACAGCTGCTTTTATCATTTCACTGGATCATAATTTATTCTGACAGACGTCACGATAAATGAGGAATATTTTGATCTGAGTCAATGGCGTTATTTATTATCCTCTGTTGTTAACTTGTATTTATTTAGAGCTTTAAAATCTCATAATCTCATGTTACAGATCAGTGACAAATATTCAATGAATGCAGAATTAATCCAACCCAGATTAAATAAAGGTGAGTATAAAATAAATATATATGTTCTGAATGTGTTTAGAGTTGATAGCGCTGCTGGATGTTTATCACCAGAAGACCCGAGCTGCTGCACGTTCTGCTTGTTCACAGAATATTTTAAAAAGTATATTACTTTGTTCAGCTGTTGGTGTCATAAACATAAAACCTTTTGCTCGTAGTAACTCATACTGTGGTTTGTGTGTGTGTGTGTGTGTGTGATTTACTTTCTTCCATTCTTTGCGTCATGAACATTTGATTGTCAGAGTACCTGAGGTATTCTATTATTAGTTGTTTTTGTTACCTAATAGTTCTGTGTCAGAGGTTATTCACAAACTATTGTGTAATAAGTCCCTTCATTTATATTTAGTGTTTAATCACATTAGATCAATTTACACTAGTTAGATTAACTACCAGTAAATGGTATTAAAAGTCTAGGTATTTATTGCTGAGTGCATATCCATTCTAACTCATCAGTTTTACTTCTATAAAGGAATGTTATGATGTTTCTATTTTTGTAATAATATAATATAAATGAATGATGACTTGTTTAAGAAAATTCTCACTTGTCATTCCAGGTTTGTGTCCACATCTAAACTAGTCCTGTAAAAACAAGTAATACTCGTAAATAGTTTGGAAAAGTCCTGTGAAACAATAAAGTGTGGTTTTGATTTTGCAGTAATAAACTGTTTTTATTCATCAGTATGCTAAAGAGAATGATGGCACATTTGATTAATGTGTGATATAGTTAATAACGGTGCAAATGTCCTTTTATTTTACAAACTGTGATTAGTTAACAGTACAGTAATTACAGTAGTTGAAATACAGTTACAACTTTTTTTATTACTTGATTCTAAAATACAGTCAGCTAATGTCAATTTATTGATAAATCTTTTAGAAAACAAAATGGCAGCATCAGAACTCTGAACACACTTAACTGTAGTCGTCATTTTTATTTTTTAACATTATTTTTCACAGTGTATGGCTGCAAGGGCAGATATTATTTTGGGGGTCGGGGTGTCAGAAAACAGGGAGTTTTGAAGAACATTTGTTATCTTTTTTATTAAGGGGGGTTGTCCCTTAGAATACAATCAAGCGTACTGTTATAAAATGAAATTAAAATCAACATTTATTATCATGTTCAGCAGGTAAAGTAGCAGAAACTGAACTAACAGGAGCACTCCCCCCCAGTGCTAAATGTTTGCTTGATTCACTTCTTTTTACAAAAATATAAAACCACGAAAAATCTACAACCAGGTAGTGACCCACCTGACATGCACAAGAATAAAGTCCAAAATGAAAAACAATCACGAATGGAAACGTGCAAACAAAAGCTCAAGACGTTCATGTTTCAGGTGAATACTGGTGAAAAAGTTCATCAAATATGTGCAGTTTTCCTCAGACTGAAGGTTGTTTCAATCCAGGTTGAAGATCATTTAATCTGGTTTAAATTACTTTTGTTTTATAATAATTTATAAAAGTATTTCAGGCACAGTCTATCAGAATAAATTATGAGCCACAGACATGATAAAAGCAGCTCTTTTGTTCCTGCTGATCAGAGATCCCTTAAACATTATAGAAATATTACTGTCGCCGTGCACAAACTATATTAGTTTGACTAAAATAACAAGAAAATTGCTCCAAGTGAGAATTCAGTTCAATTCAATTTAATTCAGTTTATTTATTTAACGCCAAATCACAACAAAGTTGTCTCAGGACACTTTACAGGAACATCCACATACATAGAAAAGCCAGTTGGTAAAGTTCTGTAAGGAATCCAGCAGACTCGTTGAATCTTCACTCCATCACAGTCTCCCATCCTGAGCAAGCACAATGGTAACAGTGGAAAGGAAAAACTCCCTTTTAAAAGGAAGAAACCTCCAGCAGAACCAGGCTCAGGACAACTCTGTTCATCAAAGGCAATATTAATAATTGTTATCCAAAAAAATCATTTATATTGTGTCCACCTGTCCAGACTTCAGGTTCAGTCAGAGATTATTATTACAACATTATTGACACAAAAATAAAACCAGCAGTTATTGCACTTCATTAGACATTACAACTACTGTAAAAGAACCTTAACTAATAACAGTTTGTAAAATAAAATGACATTTTTCACCATTTTTAACCATATCACACATTAATCAAATGTGCCATCATTCTCTTTAGTGTACTGAATAAAAACAGTTTATTACTGCAAAATCAAAACCACTCTTAATTACTTCACTGGACTTTTCCAAACAATTTATGAGTATAACTTCTTTTTAAAAGACTAGTTTAGATGTGGACAAAAACCTGGAATGACAAGAACTTTCTTCAACAAGTCATCATTTATTTATATTATTATTATTATTATTATTATTATTGCAATAATAGAATGATCACATTATTTTTAGAAGTAAAACTGATGAGTTAAAATGAATATGCAGTCAACAATAAAGTATAAATACCTAGACTTTTAATACCATTTACCGTAGTTAATGTAACTACTGTAAATTGATTAATGTGCTTAAACACTATATACAGTATAAATGAAGGGACTTATTACACAATAGTTTGTGAGTAACATCTGACACAGAACTATTAGGTAAGAAAAAAACAACTAATAATAGAGTACCTCAGGTACCCTGACGCCAAGAATGCAACAAAGTAAACCACAAAAAAAACACCTTAACACAGTACTATGAGGTACAATGAGCAAAAGGTTTATGACACCAAAAACTGAACAAAGTCATGTACTTTTAAAAGATTCTGTGAACAAGCAGAACGTGCAGCAGCTCGGGTCTCCTGGTGGTAAACCTCTAGCAGCACTCTCAAGTCCAAACATATGCTGAACAGATACAGTACATTTATTTTAAAACCACCTTTGAATGAACTCCAGGGTCGAGGCTGCCTCCATTTTGGTACTCGACGTTGAATACACAAGTTCATGAGATCCTTAATAAATAAAACTATTTCAAGTAGGGAGAAAATTCAAACCGTCCTTCCTACTATCGCCTTTGGTTCCCTGTCAGATGAGACGATTTTAAAAATGTCACTAGAACCCGATTTATGTTGTGACAGTTTTTGCCCTGTTGAGCTCCCTGAACTGTTCAAAATTATAGCTTGATTCAAACCATCCACATGTCTGCTAGATCCCATCCCAACCAGACTATTTAAAGAGGTACACCAACAGTTCATGCTCAGTAATCCAGGTTACAAATCCAACAATGTTCAGTCAGGTCATCTGGACATTTTTTTTCTTTTTTTCTGAGATGTTTCTTCCTTCATCCAAAGGACTTCTTCAGTTTGTTTGTGGCTTCTCAGACTGAAGAAGTCCTTTGGATGAAAGAAAAAACATCTCAGCAAAAAAAGAAACCGTCCAGATGACCTGACTGAACATTGTTTTATTTAAAGAGGTATTTCCCTTAATATCCACATTTTGGATCTGCTTAATTTGTCTCTAATGAATGGTTACATACCACAGCGCTTTATAATTGCTGTAATTAAACCTTTACCTAAGAAACATAATACTGACTCAGAAAGCCTAGCCAATTATAGACCTATATCTAATCTAACTTTCATCTCAGAAATTCTTGAGAAAATAGTTGCAGGTCAGTTGCATGAACATCTGCAAAGAAATAATCTGTTTGAAGAGTTTCAATCAGGGTTTAGAGCTCACCATAGCACTAAAACTGCACTGGTGAAAGTTACTAATGATATCCTCATGGCCTCAGACAATGGACAG